CATTGTTGTTGATGTGCAGCTGGGCTCTGCCACTGTAATATAAATTTGATTCTAAGCTTCCTTATTTTCTCTATGAACGTGTTCATTTGGACAGATAGGAGTGACTTTCACATAGATCTGGTTGGTGAAAATGTTTGGGGCTTTGTGCAGCACCACATAAAATCTGGATTTGAGGATACTTTTGTGATAAAATCATATCGGGCTCATAGGTAATTTGGAGGGAAATATAGTTGCACATTACCGAATTACTTGTGTTTTTTTGTGGACGGGGTATTGATGATGGATCCCAGGGCCTTGTACACACTAGCCAAATGCTCTACCACTGAGCTACTATATCCTTCCCCCCAACTTGTCAATTTTAATTGGAATTTTTATCCAGATCATGGTAAAAGACTTACAGTGGTCTATTTTATGTGTTATCTCAAAAAGCAGGGTTTTCACTTTATATTTCCTATTTAAATCTTATTTAAATGATATATAATTTCTCATTATTAATTGGTTCTTCAATCTAGAAGTTCACCACTAAAAGTCTCATTTAGATGGATAGTAACATTTCTGATAGTTAAGGATTCTATAGATCTATGTTGCTCAATAAGTGAGCCCCTAACTGTATGTTACTAGTGAGTGCCTGCAATGTGGCCAGTCAGCCTGAATTGTGATTTTCTGTATGTGAAAAATACATACTGGATTTCAAAGAGTTTGTATATATAAACAAAGAAACAAGTAATATCTTATTATATCATATTTATATTATTATATTAGTTTTCATATTAGATGTATAATGAATTTGTTCTCTTTTTACTTTTTATAAAGTAGGTACTAGACAATTAAAAACTACACATGTGGCTTATATCATGTTTCCATTAGATAATGATACTAAGTATAGTTGTTTCCAAGCATAGAATTTTTGTCTCTTGTTCCTTAATATATTCCTAGAAATTGTCTAAACTCCATCCTGAAATATGCAGAGCAGAAAAGCAGTACAAACTCTTATCCATAGTTAAGAGTACAAATTTCTTAACAAGTTGTGTTAGTAACAGAAGATCATTGAGTTAGTTCAGAAGTTAATTCAGTGGTTGTTGAGTTAGCCTTAACTACTTTTAAAATTTTTCTTAATCAATCCATAAGAACTTGTGTTCAGATTAGAAACAGTGTTTTCTCCATTTTCCTAAAAACAAAACTGGCATATCAGACCACTGAAGGTCACAATAGATTCTCCTACTCTTGTTCAAAATTACAATCACTATTGCCTTACTTGAGACAATCAAGAAAAACAGATGTTGCAATCCACCTGTTCCATACGTGGTCCTTTCATTGTTGTTTTTCAAAAGGTAGGAAAACTGAACTGTAATATGTCAATATCTTTATAGTGGGAAACATAAACAAGCCAAGGTAAACATAGACAAATTTCAAAAGGGTGCCCCCAACCCCATGACCATCCTTTTGAATTTGTTGATTCTGAGAAATACAGATAATCATCTACTTGAATGTAGGTGATGTGTAAGATCTTATGAGTCATGTACTGTAATTTGCTCATCTTTTATCTTCCTACTGCCTTAACACCATATCAGGTTTCCATTAGCAGTTTAGGACATTTTAAATAAATTGAACTGAATCATTCAGAAATATAAATTATCTTAATGAAAAGGGTTTTGGGGAGAGATAGTAATAGAATAAAGAAAAGAAAGTATGAGAGACTAGACACCAAAATGGGAACTTATTCCTGAAGTGGATTAATTTAATCAATTTTAGTTTGGGAAGAAGAATGAGGTTTCTGTGTTCTTTGAAGCTTGTGTATTCTACTTACCAGAATGCCAGAGTTTCTGTCAGTCAATAGCATATGAAAAATTTATCAAATGTATTACTTGACACAGAGGTTACTCTATTGTTACTGACATGGATATGCCAGAGAATTCTTTATGTTGCCAAAAAAGAAGTGTCCCTGATTGATTGCTGCAGCTGACCTAAACACTCAAAGACCACTGGGTAATAACCCCTTTATCATATATTAGCCACAAAACCCAAGTCCAAATAGTTGTAAGGTTCTTGTTCAAACCACAAAACCTGGAAAAGCCAGAAACATGAAAAATTTTTAACCTGTTTGTAACCCAATGACATCCCACAGCCTCTGTGAGACTGAGTAGCTGATTCCCAAGCCCTGAGAATACATCCAATAAAAATCTTTAGAATTGAAGCCTCATCCATAATACCAATATTTTCTTCTTTTCCCCTGTTTAAAAAATCCACTTTAGTCTTACAAATGTGAGGTATAATCATAACATTTTAAGCCATAAAAACCAATATACATACAGATTACTGAGAATGTACGCCAGACCAACAATATTTCATGAAAGTGGTTTATATCATTTAATTTCCTTTTTTATTTTGGTAAATGCCAATTTGAAAAGAAGGGAAAAGAGATCAAGACTCAAAATCTCCATGTTTTTGAAGTACATGAGAGTTGGCAAGATCAACTATAAAGGCAGCTCATGCCTGAATGGTCTGTTGTACACTACAAAAATTTCCTTCGTGGTCTAAACTACAAGCTGCAATAAAAGTACCTAAGCAGTGTAGGGAGGGATGAAATAAGCAGGAACTAAGATTTTGTTCTTGTATGATTAAATGCACACACAGAACTTACGTATTCAGATATTCTTAGCAGTAAAACCTATACTTCTGGGGTAAACCCAATCTAATTTTTATTTCAAGGATGTCAAAATCTTACGATAAAAACTATGTCTGACATCACAGTTTATGCAGAATTCATGGCACCGAATAGTGGCTATCCACCTATATACTACTGAAAAATGTTATTATCGTTTATTCTCTTTAGCTAAGGAGATATTTTGAAATATTTATATAAACTGCATTTATAGAATAATAATCTACTGTAGAAGATTAAAAACACTTATTTGGTAGACCTAGTCCAGTAAAAGGAGGGCCTGCCTGATATTAAGATGTTTCTATCATTTCTCGGTCTTTTGGCTAAAACCAAGTGTAGGTAATAAGATGTTTCTGGTGATTCAGATATCCTATCTGGAACCAATGGTGATTAGAGGAGCTATAATTATCAGTTTCCCATCCATTATATTTCTTAAAAATAGACTCTCCACTGGCTTACCTATAAATATTGTAAATGATAAGATTTGAAAATGGACCTCTTGCAGTTCTTAGTGTCTATACACAAACTTTGGTACTTGATTGTGTTCTATATTATTTTCTCATTAGTTCATGTGTTTTCTAAGTGTGACTGCAAGTCACTGCAGGTAAGGTCTTTTCTTTTTCTTCTCTTTATATCCACAAAAACTCAACATCAGGTCCATCCTGGACAAATATTCTTTCAATTGAATTGACTGGCTCCTTCCATTTTTACACATGAAATCACTCCCTGTGTGTATGTGTCATATTAGTATGTTGTCATTTTGAAATATTCATCCTCCTAGTTAACCTTCAAGATCAGTTTATACATTGCCTCCTCTGGGAAGGTATTTCTGATCATCTCCCCAACAGTTAACCATACCTCCTCCATCATCCACTGTGATGTTTAATGCTTTGACAATTGTTGTATACTACCTTCTCTGGACTCTCATGATTATTCACTGAAATATTTGTTTTCTCTACTGGAATATGAACCTTTGGGAAGGTTTCTCTTATTAGCCTATGACTTGCATATTATAGGATACTTTCGTTGAACTGATGAATAAACATGGATCACTAAGCCTACACCATCTCTGAAAAACTGCTGTTTATGCCTATTGAACTGGTTTGGTGAAAATTCCAGTAGACAGTAAACAGATTCCTTATATTGTTTGATAGCTATGATTCATTTTATGTTATATCTTGGCACTAGAATTGAAATAGGAGAGTAAGGCATGGCAAAGCTGGCTGGGGAAGTAGATGTAACCTGTTAATTACAAGATCCCAGAACCCATTGCAGAACAGTTCCCAAAGCTGTGTGTGTGTGGATTTTTCACAAGAACTAGAACAGAGTTTCTATCGGAAAGCCTTGACCTGACATCAGCCTGAGGTGTGAGACCCCACCACTGACTCTGTCGCAGGTTTCCTCGAGACTTGGACAACATAAAAGACACAGATGCGAAGAACTGGCTATCTTGGTGACTTTTGGTCATGGTAGCCCACCCTGCTTTGCGTCCTCCAAGATGTCTTTTTATTGCTTTTTCTCCTTTTATTCTGTGCAAGTTCCCTCTGCAGAGCGTTTCACCCTCCCTCTTCACTTTTACTTTCTCAAATAAACTTGGCCACTGCCTTTTTGCTCATTTTTTTCAATTCTTTGTTTGAGTTGAGAAGAACCTAGAATCCAGAAAGAGAGGCGAGCCATCTAGAACTGGTAATGTTTAACTGGTGAGCACTTTTAGAAGGAGCTACCTGTTAATTTTTCACATAAGATAGGAGATTCCCATAACAGAGTCTGTCTGTATGTACTATTTTTTTCCTAATATTTCCATGAAATTTGAGTTTCTCAAATTTTTCCTCTTGTCTTCCAGCACATTTTCTTCATTTTTATTTTGCTTTAAAATTTTCTTTTGTACATTTGTGCTACGGCTTGCATCTAGCCTCAGGCACTCATAGGTGGGGCTTTTCGCAGCTGCCTGGGTCTAAAATGTGACACTGAGATTAAGGGTGTGGTTCTGGGATTAAGGGGGCCCCACCCCGGTTGAGGGCGGGTAGCCAGGATGGAAAATAAAGGGAGAGGAAGAAAGCTGCTTCTGCAGCTGCTTCTACTCACATAGCTGCCTCCTGCCTCCTGCCTGCATTGCCAAGCCAGGGATTCCTTCTCTTCTTTGATGCCCCTCTGCCATGCTGCCCTGCCTTAGACTTAGCCAACTATGGACTGAAACCTCTACAGACTGTGAGCTAAGTAAACCTTTCCTCCTTTAACTGTGGATGTCAGGTACTTTGGCTCAGCAATGAGAAAAGTAACCAAGATAATTTCTATAATGAATATAGTTGAGAGAACATTTATTTCAAAGTCCACTTACTTTCTGTGCCATCTTGAGAGTTTCAGGAAGATCTCTCAAAAGGAGAAGGCAATCTGGAATTCTGGACATAGTTTGAGCAGCTTTGCTTTCCAGTGTATTTTGGACAGAAGGTCTCTGCTTTGACAAAGAAAAGCATAAGTAAAAACAGGGCTTATCAAACAAATGACATAGAGGTTACAGTGCATGTGTCAAGAAACTATCTCCTTTTACAAAATTATTTGCAGCAGGGTCCTTGTATAGCTAGTTCGTGGAGGTCAATTGACATATAATTGAATTTTCCAAAAATATCGTCACATGAGAATTCTCAGTAATGCAGCATGATAAGATTTAGTTTCACAGGGATATCTGCAATCCTGAAAAGCTGTGCAGGATTTTGAATTTTTCACAGGTTACCTTTTTGGAAGCAGGGGGTACCTGTGTATCAAGGGCAAAAGACACACCTATGGGAAGGATGTTGTCAAGTCTCCATCTGCTGCAAAGAGCTGCATCTCCTTGAAGACCTGAAATAGAAGCCTATGTTGTTCTTACTGGGGTTAAAATGAGGACAATGAGAAGGACTGATTTTCTCCAGGTTGGAGAGAAGGGAAAGTTGATATAGCTTAATTCTTGACCACTGGCATGGCAGTCTTTGGAGATGATTCCATTGTTGTATTTGAGGATCTGTGTTATTCAAATCCATTAATTTTTTTACAAGTTCCTAGGAATATTCTTGAGCTGTGCATTATTTGGGTAGTTCCTTTTATTTCCTCAAGCATGTGCTGCTTTTTGAGCTGAGATGCAGTGTTCATCAGCCTAAAAAGCCTTCCTGCTCATTCCTGGGGACATCCCAATACTCTGTATGATGTTATATTTTTGTCCTGCCTTGAATGGACTTAAGCTGCCCTCAAAGATCAGTTCCATGTGCCTTGTGCCCATTCTTTTGGCCATGGCAGGACCAGACAGGGTACAGAACCAGTTCCCACCATGCCTATGGGTGGAGTTTGCCAACTACTAATGGTCTTATCTGTGTATCATGATGGGCCAGATGCCTGAACTATGCTGTCATAGAAAATGGTACATGGAGAAATAGTGTTGAAGAAATAGCACACCCAAGTGCCTCTCTCTTCCAAAAGCTGCTCTCTCTTTCAAGGTTGCACTGTAAAATCCTCATACTTGCAATCACATAGTTTTCCAGTGACTGAAAGTAAGAAAAATAAGAGTTGAGAAAAAACAGTACCTGGAAATTAAAGAGTCTATATCTGTAAAGTAGCTGTGAATTTGGTGAGGAGAGAGATTGGTTAAAATAGAGAAAAGACTTTGCTCAATGGCTAGGCAGCATGAAACTGCTTGGAAAGTGAAAGAATTTACAAAGAGGCCCTGTGATTGTATGGCTAGTGTTTGTTTCTAGCCAGAGCACAGACAGAGAAAGCAGAGGGCACAAGCAGAGGCCAAGACACAAGCAGGTCCTGTGTCTCCTTCAGCAGTTTGGATTTCGAATCCTAGGCGATGAGGAGCCTTTGAACAATTGCAGGTGGAAGAAAGGAAGAGAAAAAAGATTTGGAGCTTTGGAAAGAGCAGAGTGAACTGACATCAGGATATTCTACTTACTGGCTGTGTAAGCTTGAACAAAAAACCTTCTTTCACCTTCAGCTTCCTTATCTGAAAGATGGATCTAATAAGAATGGTGAGAATGGAATAAATTTACACAAATTGAAGAACTCACAGGAACATGGCACGCAAATACAGGCTACAGAAATTAATGTTTCACCAAAACAAATGCTTACCATTTAATGAGAAAGTTAGCTGGTTGCACATGGGAAGGGAATGGTTGTCCCATGAGTTAGGAAATTGCAGACCAGGAAAAAGTACACCCACCCCCAGCAGGTCTGAAAGGCACAAAGAATGTTCAACATGTACATAAAAAAAAACACCCAAATTTTCATTGGAAAACAGAACAGCAGGTTTTTACACTTTCTTTCATTTCACCCAATTTTCTTGAGATTCTGAACAAAATGTTCCAAGCAAGCTATCCAGCTGGCTCATTTGTGTCAGAGAAAACAATGCTTACTACTTTAACATTCCCCTCCTTCTGGCCCTGTAGGGGTACTCAAAAATGACATGGAAGCTGAGATGGAATGATCAGTAGTTTCTACGTACATACAGCAGCTATTTCTGTGGTGTAACAAACTTGTTGGGGAGAAAATACTGTTTTTAGTAAAAACTTTGGAAATTACCAAACCATGCACTGAAAATACAGATGCTTGTGTTAGCCAGAGAAATCCATAAGGTGGAAACACAGCCTGAGATTTAAAGGAACTGCCTTCCAGCTTGAGCTCTGCCAATATTACGCAGCATGAATTTACATAGATTAGGTCACTTCTGACCTCGAGACTCCTCATCTATAAAATGGTGGAGCCTGTCCAAACCACTGAAGTCCTATTCAAGTTTAACTTTGTCTTGATTGACATTACTTTGTATGTTGATTTACATTTCTAGGCTTGCTCAGGATAGCATGATTACTCTGACTCCCTGGCCTGTGTCTCCTATAGCTTCTAATCAATCATCACGTTCTGTTGGGAATTTTTATTAAAAATTTGAGCTTTGGAATCTGATAGGCTTTTAACAAATCCCAGCTCAGTCATACATTAGCATAAAGGGAGTTACTTCATCTTTCTCTACCCTTCCATTTTTTCCTCATTTACAAAGTGGGATAAGAATAGAATTTGTATCACAGATCTGCAGTCTAGATTGAATTAGAAAATGCATGTTGTGATACTTAACTGTTTTGTCAATTTGAGAAAGAAATGCCCAACTGACTGGATTAGCATAGTTCTGGGTGTGGTTGAATGGATTTACTGAAGATAGAAGATCACCCTGGATGTGAGTGACACCACCAAATAGGGTTGTAGCCTGAATGGAATAAAAAGGGGGAGAAAAGAAGAGAGCTTGCTTCTGTTTCTCCAGAGGAGCTCCAGTCTTCACCTTTACCTTAAATGTCAGTCTCTAGGCTTCCAGCACTTCCCTTGAAGACGCTTCTGCCTCCTGATAGGACTCTACCATGTGCTCCAGGCCTTTGAACTTTGACTGGATACTTTGGATCTCCTGTGCACAGGCAGCTCTCTTGCACTTTTTGACATCTGGCTCTGCAGGAAACCATTGTAACCCTACTGGTAGATCCTTACATATTGGTATATCTTATATTAAATCTGTTTGAGCACTGAGTGATGCACATGTGCTCAATATAATGCCTACTTTTAATATAAATAGCTATATTTCAAAATCTCTCTTTCAGCCCAGGCATGGTGGTGTACTGGTAATACGTGCTGCACAGGTAGGTGAGGTGGGACGACCACAAGCTGAGGTCTGGCCTGAGAAATTTATAAAAACCTTGGCTCAAAATTGTAAAAATCTTTGAAAGGGCTGGGGATATAGTAGAGTGGCAGAACACTCACCTGGCGTGTGCAAGGCGCTTGGTGCAGTCCCCAGAACAGACACATGCACAACCAATCAATCAACCAGTCAACAAATCTCCCTCTCCTTCTTGCGTAGCTCTTGAATTTGACTCTTCCTCTTCCTTCACTGTCTCAAAACTTCTCACCAGGAAGATGGAAGCCAAGTTAGTTACTTTAACTCTAGCCTGTCTCTTTGCACTGGCAGAAAGGAAATCTTTCAAAACCATAACATTACCATAATAATAATAAAAGTTTTATGGGAGACCACAGAAACAGAAGGTGGAGATGCTAGAGAGACAGGACCTGAGTTGACAAATTGGAAACCAAATTTCATGTGGTCTTGTTTCCAATTAACACAAGGCAGGGTTTTTTGGGAAAATTTTCAGGCTTACTCAAACTGAAGACAAGTTGCCTGTGGGCCACAGTGCTAGGAACCTTGATCAAGAGTCCTCTGTCCACTATATTTCTGGTTCCCTTGTACTTTTTTTCTGAAATGTTCCCAAGATTGGCTTTGACTTGGGGACAGACTCCTGTTTGCCCACTGAGCAGAGCGGGCCAGTCAGTCTCTGTGTGGGCACTGGTTTGTGATTAGACCAGGTTAGAAAAAGGATGAACTTTCTATGTCGAACTAGGCCATGAACTGAGATTTGGGGTGCAAGTTGGAACACAGCACTAGCTGCCAAGCCATACTGCTAGGGCTTCACTGCCCGGGGTCTTTTCTGAGAGGGAGAAAAACAGCCAGGGCAACTGCAGCTTCAATGATTTAGGCTAGGCAGAGAGGCATTTCCTGTTCTGAGTCCTACATGGTCTAGTAAAATTCACTGAGCTTTGGCTTTGGGAGAGGAGTCTCCAGATAAAATATATGGCAACTCTCCCACCCAAAAACAAAGGTCGGCATCCAGAACTGACCTGCTAACCTCCTCATTCATCATGCAGCAAAAGTCAGGAGGGCACAGCGCTGTCCCCTCCCAGGGAGCACAGGGGCGAGCAGTCAGTCACCAGGAAAAAATGGTGGGCTTTTAAACCCTTTTCAATTTCAGTGCCATGGTAGCAACAAGGCCCAGGAGTGGGAAGGGCCAGGAGGGGAGGCCGACATGCGGCGTCATATTACAGGGCTGCAGAGACTGCAGAAAGGGGACATTTGGCTCTCATTACAGAACAAAGGGACAGGGTGCTAGAAAACAGAGCTGATCTGGGTCAGAGGTACCTGCCTGTCCCCCAGGTGCTGCTGTCAATTTGCACATCTCCACTGAGGAGGGAGCCTCCCTGTGCTGTCTCCCACAGTCTGCATTTGCCAACAATAACATTCTACCAGGAACACAGCTTGTCAAAACCAGCATTGCAGCAAGAGCAGTGACGTGATGAAAATCGTATTTTCTCAGGGGCAAAAGCTCGCTGCTATTGAGAAGGTTTGAGCTGTTAACAAGTGATTTTCACTAAATCTCCCCCAAATTTCCAAAACTTTATAGAGTATTATTGTTTTGCAGAGCTCTTTCTTTAATAAATGTTTTACTTACTCTAGTGGGGAGGTGTTGTCGAGGAAGAGGAAGACAGAAAATCTGTGATTCTTGAGAAGAATCAATGTCATTGCTCATCATTCAAGATCTGAACTAATAACATCTTCCTAATTACAACAAATTTGTGTGTAATTTTATGATGAGAACACGAATCTTTGTGCCCCTCAATTTTATTTCTAATCAATTACTTCTTTTTTCCAACTTACTTCTCATAAAGCATTATTTTGAAAATCTGCGCTTTTTAAAGAAAGTTATTGGTTGTTAGTCTACCTTTTTGGTGGCTTCTATGACATCTGGTGATTCTTTTCTATTATTTTCGTAGAAATCATCTCCAGGCCTGGAAAGGAGAGAGACTGGCCTGGTTGCCATGTTGCCCTCAGGTCTGCCAACTCACACCCAAACCTCGTAACTGTATTTTGAGTCATTAACGACAAAGCCCCAGAAATGTCGGTGGAGGGTACGTTTCATCTGAAACAATATAAAAAGTGTACAAGGAGAGAAAAGCAGGTCTCCATTATTTGCCAGGGTCCTGTTATGTGCTGGTTGTGATGAAAATAGGCTTAGTGACT